ACGCTATTACACGGAGCTTACCCCCCTGCTTTTGGTACAATACTGCCCCCAGGCCTTGGTTTGAGGCATCTGTATGAAGAAGAAAAGGCAGTGAAAAGTCTGGAAATCCAAGGATAGGTGGTTCGACCAGATGATTTATCAATTTTTCCAAGATCTCTTGGTGCTCATCCTTCCACATTATTGGTTGGTTCGAAGGCACTCCTCTAGTCTTCACTTTACTTCGTCTGAAATTTTGGCAAGTGTTTTCCACTCCCGGGGTGCTCTTGAGTAAATCATACAGTGGTCCAGCAATCTTTGAAAAATCCTTAATATATTGTCGGTAGTAACTTAAGAGGCCCATTACAGTTCGCAGCTGCCCGACGGTACTTGGTCTCTTTTCCTTCCAAGCTCGCACAGCCTCCGTGTCAGCTGGATCCACTTTGCTACCTTCAGCGGACACAATTCTTCCGAGGTAGCGGATTTCCCTTTTGAACATTCCACATTTGCTTGGCTTCAATTTTATTCCATACCGTCTAAGCTGCTGCAATACCTCCCGCACATGGTGGACATGGTCTTCAAAGGACTTGCTGTAGACTAAGATATCATCAAGGTATGGCACACATATCCGGTCTCTCAACCTCTCCAAGCATTCCTCCATACACCTCTGAAAGGCAGCTGGAGCATTCATCAAGCCAAATGGAATTCGTATCCACTCATACAACCCCCACGGGGTTACAAATGCGGTCAGGGGCCTACTCTCCTTTGCCATAAAGCCTTGATGATATGCTTTGCCCTGATCTAATAGTGAAAACCATGAATTCCCCCCCAGGTTGTCAAGGATATCTTGGATTCTGGGAATTGGCTGACGATCAGGATTGGTCTTCTTATTCAGCTCCCTGTAATCCACACAAAGGCGGAGGCTTCCATCCCTTTTCCTAACACAGACAACAGGTGATGCATACGATGATGTTGATTTTGATATCCAACCCTGAGCAATCAGGTCATGAAGGTAATCTTTTACTTCCCTATAGAGTGGTTTTGGCACAGATATGTATGAACGTGCAACAGGAACTGTGTCTTGAAGGGAGATCTTCAGGGTTAGATTTTCTATACACCCGATGTCATCATCTGACTTCGAGAATGATGCACATTCCTCTCGTAGCATCTTGCATACTATTTCCTTCTCAGGCTGACTCAGATGACCCAAATCTACTGGAGGGTCCCAGGTATCACTGGCAAACTCAGTACTGCTTGTTGGGATGGGATTCACTGAAGCAGGTATGGACTGAACATATTGAGTTTAACTCTTTTTTCCTTTTTCTTTTTTTTTATTTTATTACAGTTGAATCACCTTGATTCCATCATTTATATGATCATTTTGATCTTTGTTCTTTTTAACCTCTACACAAACACGCAGAGCCGTGAATGAGAACTGGTATATCCCACAGGGGAAGCCCTGCCAGAGTGTAAGTCTTTGGGAAACACTGTTGCTGTAGCAGTTTTCAGTAAAATGATGGGGACACAACACAAGGTTGGGGCTATACTGCTGTGGTATTGTTGTAAAAATGAACTGCAACCATTGATTCTTCACAGCCTCGTCCTTTGGCATTAAAAAAAAACGGATTTACCCTCATAGTGCAGAGCAGTCGCGTAGCTACGGGTGGGCCTGGGTGGGGCCCAGGTTTCAGGAGTTAAAACCCACCAGTCAGTCAGGCCCCCCCATTCAGTTGCTTCAGAAGGTAGCCTAATCATTGTGAATTCTGTTACAATAATCGCAATACTTTACCTATAAAAGTAAATTGTGTTGTTGCTTTTTCTTTTTTTCCATATAATGATGAAGATAAGTTTGCGAACAGCCCTTTAGCTACAGCAGAGATGGCTGGATGCCTTTATACATGCCTTTGTCACGTTACTTCTATGAGTCCGTTTTGTGCTTTCTGCGCGAGAGCGCCCTCCGGCTTCAAGCAAGAATGAAACGTCCCCCGCGTATTCTACACTCAAGGAGCTGATCAGCTCTGCTAGTGCTAACGTTAATTCACATATTTCTCCATCACCAGCAGCGGTCCATTCTCTAAAGGCTACCTCCCCTACACGCCAGTGTACAGGTACAAAAATCTACATGTTCCTAACGTTAGTTGCCTAGTCACTGTTGTTTATTTCATGTGGTTTATGTGGCCCCTGAGCCAGACTATCACCAAGCATGGGTTTTACATACTGTCCATTACTGATGTCCTGCTGATTTGATGATGGTGTTGTGTTGCATCTGTCAGATGCGCATGTGGCCGCAGTGCTCATGCTGTTCTTATCGTTATTTTCTTAACACTGCTTATGATGACATACAGGCTTATGCTCTGCCGCACACAACAAGTGGGCGGGCAATATGCTAATGTTTCATTTTGACGTCAGCATGAAACGGTGTGGGATTAGTTTTAAAAACGACTCCTTTAAATGATTCAGAGTCGACTCTTTCTTTTAAGAGACAATAACTTTACACGGTGCACTTTCAGATTTAAAACTTTGCAGGATGTTTTCATTTAGTGTTACACACTGCATGAGGGGTAATTTTCAAAAATCCATAATAAGGGCACTTAAACTTTAGCCACGTTCATTGTGGAAGTTGCTAACTAGCACATTTTTAGGAAAGGCGATTTGCAAAGATTCATTAAAAAAAAAAAAAATCTCTCTCACTAACAGTCGTGGGAGTGGCCTGGGCAAAGCTATGTCACTTTGCCCAGAATCTGTGAATGGCTTGATCTGAGAAATTTGTGGGGATTAAAAAAAAAAAAGCACTGCATGGATTTTTATCATTATAGGGTGGTTGTGTACACACACTGCCAACACACATTTAAGTTCAAAATGAATTTTGCATCCAATGTCCCCTTTAAAGTCAGAATGAATGGAAAATCATCCAATCTATTTTCTAAACGTATGGTATTCATCTTATTGTGAACAATTATATGTTTCTGTATTTTTTGACCTTCATAAAATGTCCTAACGGGATCTTCTGGTGAAACAGCAAACTTCTCTCTGGTGGTGTATGCTAGACTTCTGCAGTCATTCTCAAATCTCACACAATCAACTGCAAGCCTCAAGATCAACCAACACTCTTAAAAACACTCTTTATTAGGATTAATGGTTCCATGAAAAACCCTGAATATCCATGGAACATTTCAAATGCAGAAAAGGTTCTTTATAGTGGAAAAAGGTTCTTTAGATTTTTAAAATGTTATTCAAAATGGTTCATTTAAGAACTGTTCACTGAAAGATTATTTGGGGAACCAAAATGGTTCTTCTATTGCATCACTGTAAAAACACCCTTTCGGAGCCTTAAGTGAACAATGGATTGAACCAAGAACCCTACATTTTTTCTTTTTGGAAATCTGTTTCACTTGATTGTATGCCATAATTTGGAAGAAAGATCTGTTGTTATTTGCATTACAATGTGACTTTAACACTTTGCCGTGTCAGACAAAGATGTTTTTGCTCATTCAAAAACAACGAGAGGTTCTGAATGAATGAACAACCTCAATTAGGGTGACAGTGTCAAACTTGATAACCTGGTAAATGTATACTTAATATGACAATAACACAACAATTAATATTTAGGTATTCGAAATGGTGAATCGGTTTTGTAATTTTGTAAATGAATTGTCTGAAATAATTGAATACTAAAAGTATTAACTAACTTACCCCTTTTGAACAGTATAGTGTTAGTTAAGTAGCATTACCTTTTAGTTACTTCCCAGCACTGCCCAACAGCTAGCACTGGCTTGTTTTCATTAAAAACTTTCAGCAAAAAGCCTTATCCACATATCAAGTGACTGCCATCCAGGAGACTTGGAAATTACGAATCCACAAGTCACCAGAGCTCAGAGCACAATGAACCGCACAAGTTTTGTAGAGAGGATGACTATAGGGGTGCCCTTTTTACACCACTATGCCAGCAGTGTCCTTTAGGAAACAAGCCTTGGTTAAACTGTACAATGTACAAGCAGCCACAAATAGGAATGACGTCATGTTTAGGTTGTGCTACTATAAACAAGCATGTGCCGAGTCCACTTGGTGAGTGCACTGTGTGGTAGACACAGCAGAGTAAATCACACGCTGAGCCAGATCCACAGCTCCTTAGAGACCAACTGAGCACATAGAGACAGAGAGAAAATAGACACAGCATATAAACCACAATAACCTTTAGAAATGCTACAGTACAAAGACTTTCTATGATGATAAAACAGACTAAAACTTATGAATTCCATATAAAGTCTATTTTATTACTGAATCTGCATTATTTACTTCCTAAAACCGATGAGAAAAATACATGATTGAATTGTTAGAATTATTATTTATTTAGAATTGTTATTTAATTATTAATTATTAAATAGGCTAATTTTAAATTATTTCATTGCTACTGATCTTTGACTTACATCACTGATTCCCCCCATATTTTGAGTTTTATTTATTTATTTATTTGTGTGTGTGTGTGTGTGTGTGTGCATGTTTATGTGGTTTATGAGGACACAAATTTGTATAATAACATGAGTATGACATAGGTATTACAACGAGAAGGGGATTTATGAGGACATTTTCAGTGTCCCCGTAATTCAAAAGGCTTATAAATAATTCAGAATGAGTTTTTTTGAAAATCTAAAAATGCAGAAAGTTTCCTGTGAGGGGTAGGTTTAGGGGTAGGGTTGGTGTAGGGCTATAGAAAATATGGTTTGTACAGTATAAAAACCATTACGCCTATGGAGAGTCCCCATAAACCATAAAAGCAAACCTGTGTGTGTGTGTGTGTGTGTGTGTGTGTGTATGTATGTATGTACTTAATATTTATATGTTGCTGTTGAAGTGGACCATCATCGTAAAACGTTTCAGTTACTCTTGAGGTACTTTGTGATTTTGGCTAAATATTATATACTTAAATGCTGATTTTTTTTTTTTATTAAATTCCTTTTATGGGTATTGTTTGAAAATAAAAAAGGTTGGATTTTGCCTTTGCCCTTCATTGACCCTTCTCACAGCGATAACCGATGACGTCACTGTCATCCACCAATCAGCTCACAAGGGGCGGAACTAGGAAAACATGTCGTCTATATCGGAGCTCTACGATGTGAGTTGGGAAGGTAAATGACTTTGTTTTCGTTAACAGCGGTTATTAAGATATTCAGTGTCTTTCTATAGTAATTCTAGCGATACCCGAGTTATTCATTTTGTACAGGTTTACGAACTATGTGCCCTATCTTTTGCGCTTTTCTTTGAAGACAAAATGCTATCTTAGGTAGCCAGTTAGCTTATTTAGGCACTGCTTAGTAGCAAAACCTGTATTCTAGAAAATCTAATTGTATATTTCTATAAGATGAAAAGGTTCAGTGTGTATTCAGCTGCTATTTTGTGCTTTATTTAAAGTGTAACGTTGAAACGTTTTAGTAAAACTTTTTATGACTCTGGTCTGTTTATGGTAAATCCCTTATGGATTTGCAAAGATCAGATGAGATGTGATATTGATGCACCTGAATATCATGTTGTTCACCTACAATCAGACAATAAAGAATGATTCAGTTCACTTGAGATGATCATCATTTCCCGTTGATTTTATGATGAAACGTTTTGTTGCCATAAATCTGACATCTTAATTCAGTGCAATGAGGTTTATAATAACCGTCACTGATTAATTTAGATGAATCACTGATATATTATATGATGCATGACTTACTCTTTAATCACAGCTTGGTTTCTCAAATTGTGCTGGAGTGCTAGCAAAACAAGGATTTTAAATAATATGACATTGATATTGTGATGTTACTTATTGTTTTTCTGATCATTTAATTTGTAATGAGGGAAACGTTAACTATGCATAAAATCATAAATTGTGCTCTCAGACCTTTGTAAACCCACTGTATGTGGTTTTATTGTAAATATTAAAAATATATATATTTTTGGCCTTTTATCTGTTTGTAGTATTTTTAGAAAATACTGTCATTATCAGGATGTTGTATTTTTTTATAGACTGTCTTAAAAAGTTTTGTTTTGATTAATTTAAGCAAAGTATATAGTCAGAAAACATGTCCAGCCAACCCTCGATGCACACCGTGGCAATCTAATCGCCATTGGCTAGTACATTTTTTTGTTTACTCGCCAGACTGATATACTATTTTACACACACGCACACACATTTACTTAGCTATCTAAATGGGGACATTACATAGACTTCGATTGTTTCATATACAGATAGTTATACACTTTTTAACCTAAACCCCCCCCTACCCCTCACAGAAAACTTTCTGCATTTTTACAATTTCAAAAGTAAAAAAAAAACTTTGTTTATTTTTATAACAGTTTTACGAATGAGGACATCCACAAATTGAGGTTTTTGCTGATTTTGTCAGGCTTTGCTCACTTTTGGGTACAAATTTATCATTTAAGATATGGTTGGTCATAGGTAATAGTAATTATTGTTAAAAGATACTACTACTACACTTATTATTATCTGCTGGGTTCATGGCTCTCGCTCTCTCTCTTTGCATGTGTGAGAAACACAGCGCTATCAGTAAAGCGACGGCGAGTCATGTGCCTTCACACAAGTTTACGGTTCGTCAAATACAGGTGTGCTGCGTGCTACATACTGCGCATCCATTGAGTACATGACATGATCCATTGAGCACATCCAAATAGTACAGATCGCTTGACGGAGAGCGAAACTCTCAAGCGCTCAGTCAGCGTGTTTATCGAGTGAAAATCTGTGTTGAACGCCTCTCACACACATACTGGCGAGTAAAATCTTAAGAATTTATTAGCCAATGGCTAATGTTAGACATTATTTAGTCGCCCAGAGTAAGATGCGAGTGATTTACTCGCAATGTAGAGGGTTGCATGTAATGGAGCACTAAAGATACTAAAACCAATGAGGAAGATGAATATAGAAAGTACGTTATATTCATAATTAATAATTGATGATGAAAATAAATTGGTGATAAAGTTTCAGCCATAGACTAATGTGTTTCTTTATTGCATTTCAGAGATGCGTGACAAACTCCGTAAGTGGAGAGAAGAGAATTACAGGAACAGTGAGCAGATTGTGGATGTCGGTGAAGAGCTGATTAATGAGCACGCATCTAAACTGGGAGATGACAGTAAGAACATTAAGCAAAGTTATAAGAAGTTTTAAAACACAAATAACCTTTAGCCTCAGTTTATTAAAAACATAATGGCTTTCATAATTAGATCCGGTTTAGGGTGATGTCTGCCTGGCAACGATCAGATGCATTTCTTATGCACATATGGACACTAAGCGCATTCCTTCAATAGAAGAACTGACAGATATTTAACAAATAAATAGGCTGAATAACTAACATTTTATTGTGTGGAACAATCATAGTCCTCGCAAAATATTGAGGTTATATTCTCATTAGACAAATAATAGGAACATTTCCCACAGCAGGCGATCTGGGCCCATATTCTTAAAGACTCTAAGAATCCTCTCAGAGAGCACCTAATTTATCTTAAAAAGAGTCTTAGATTAAAGGTGATTCAGGACCAATCTGAGAGCAACTCTGAGCAAGAAAAAGACAAAAACTTTTATCTTAGTGAGGAGGCGGGGCTGACCCTGTTGCTAGCTATGGCACAGTCTTTTGAAGAATGTGATTGGTTGGTTGTCTAATAAGGAAATAAAAGAGTAGGGTCTATTTTAAGCCTTCACTTTGAAATTACATGCATAATTTTTCCTGTTTTACCATACTCTCTCTCTCTCTCTCTCTCTCTCTCTCACACACACACACACACACATTATATATGTGGGTCAAAGACGTTAAGATGTCCACATCAAAATAAATTTACAAAAGTTATTTTATGTCTATAGAAAGCACAATTAAATGTAAGTAAAGTGTCTACTTTTAAGGTTTCAAATAAGTTTTTGGAGGATAAAATGTCAGAATGGTTGAATAATGTTACATTGTCATTCAGTGTAACACAATATTTATTAATATATAAAAGAATAAGGGAGCATATTAAATTTTATTGTGTTTTAAATTAGTAAAAAATTCTTACTGACAAATGGGCAAAACCTAGGATAGTGGCAAATTTAAAAAATGTAAAATTACAACTAATTAGTATTTGGGGTGAAAGTAATTAGTCTTATGCCTGACAGGATTGTTACACTGAATGGCATTTTAGTGGGTTTCTTCTGTAAATCAGGGAAAAATGTATGATATTTATTTTTTTAGCTCAGAAAAATAAAATTGCAATTAAATTAAACAGAAAACTGTAAAAATTTTGGGGGGGGACAACAATAATTGAAAGCAGTATTACACTTATTGTTTTTATGCTTAAACCCTTTTTCGTCTTTGACCCATGTATACAGGTTTATACAGTATATATATATTTCTTTATTTTTTATTTACCATGCTGTCATACTTAACATATTTTATAGGAAATGAACAGCGACACAATAAGGTTCTGAAAGTGCTGTAATTGTAAAAGAAGGTAGTGACAGACCCAAATCATCACTGTTGCATAGTTGTATTTTTCCTGTTGCCAAATATGTTAATGTAGTTAATGTAGTGATTTACTTCCATTTCTGGCGCTATGGCATTTCTGCGCGGTGTCGGAGATGTTAGCGTGTCTCTAATAAGATCGGTCACAAACATGATCCCTGCACCATCTAATGTGTAGCGTCTTGATAACTCACTGTCATGCATTGTGCACAACACATTTATTCTCCCTCCTCATGTTTCTTCCATTTTCTCCACTGCTAAAGAAACTCTTAAGCCTCTTAAAAGTCCTTGTCCGTACTCCAACTTCTTTTAAGGATTAAGATGCTTTCTGAATTACGCTTTTCTTTAATTTTAAGAGGAAACACCCACATTTCTAAGAATTTTCTTAGAATTGTTACTAGGAGCAACTCTTAGCACTAAGATTTTTCATGAATACGGGCCCTGAAGTCTGACAGTAATTGTCTTGAAATGTATTAAAGGCGTTGAGTTTGTTACAAAAGCAGTGGTTTGATGGCTGTAGTGGCAGTGATTTAAAGTGGAATGAACTTACTTCTCTTCTCGGAAAAGGTTTACTATTAAAATGTGAGATAAAACTCTCTGAGAAGTTGTTTCTAAATTCACTCTTTAGTACTGCCACTAAAAATATATTGTTATATATTTATAATAAAAATATATACAGATAAACTTCACTGAGTGACTAGTTAAGGTTTTGCTGTCTTTAGAACAGTCAGGGCAATAAAAGTTCAGTGGTGGAAGCCATTAACCTTTATTTTTCTTTAGGCAAGATTTTTCAAAATAAGCAGTTATGCCAAATTTCAACATTAAAAGGTTTTTGTGTGTGTGTGTGTGTGTGTGTGTGTGTTTTTTTTTTTTGCTGAAGTATTTAGATCCATTAATGGATCCAAAACCAGGGAAAAACAAAATGATAAAAACATATAAAGTTGCTGAACAAACACTGGCTTATTTTTCTCTCTAACAAAAGTATTGTCTGTCGAGTGTCTGACCGCTTGAATATGACTATTGCAGAAGGTTGAAAAGAGCACCAATTCTTTTTTCTTTCCCTAGTCTTAAAGATCTGATAACAAAAAGACTTTTCAGCTTTTTTCTTGACATTGAAATGAGGTTATAGTGGAAACAGCAGAAACATTTCAGATGGCTTAATATTTATTTGCTTTGGTCAGTTATGGGTTTCTAAGCCAGACAAGCAGATGAAGTCCTGCAATCGTGTTGTCAAACATAGCCACTAAAGCCAAAACTCTCTTCAGCTAAAATCATTATCTCAGAGGTGATCCAATCCTTCATACTGGCTCTAAAACTCACTCCTATAGTTGACCATTTTGGTTTACCAATTGGAGAAATTGGGCTCTTTTTCTACACAAATCGAATTTAGGCCTTTTTTTCTCCTTCGTTCATATTGTTATTTTAAAACCACATGTAATCTCAAATAACTATTATTAAATGTCTTTTGGCTGTTTCGTAAGAGAACAACACTACTGTTTGAAGAATCTTAGCAAACAACAATGAAGGATCCAAGCTGTAAGTTGCCAAGCAGCTCTTCAATAAGGAATTTACTGTAAGACGTGCTCATACATGCAAAAAAAATAAAATAACAACGGTTTTCATGGCTATAGAAATCTTTTCAAATTTCTAGGTCTGTTATCTAATTAGGGAAAGAATGAAGCAAAGATCAGGGAAAGTCGTCGTCTTCTACTAAATTGCACCTTGACACAAACGAAGAGCACTTGCTGTGTGATGAGTTGTATTTTATTGATGCATGATGTAGTCTTTTTACAGAATTTTTTATTTTTTTTTGTTATTATGATTAATACTGTCCTTAAAGAGCAGGGTAAATACTTTACACAGCTTGTTTTTTATTGAAACCAGCACTTAAATTGGCTGTGAAACAAGATGGTAATTATCAAAGCAAGACTTGGAATCATAAAAACAGCTTAAAAAAAAAAAAAAACTCCAGGCGTTTGTTTGTTTTGGCATATCAGTTTTTTCTTGTTCAGTGGGATTTTATTGTTCTTTCTCAATTAGCACGTTTGAAATCATTCAGCCGATAGACTCGGGCATGCTTGTCAAAACACACTTGTCTGTCATGGAGCATTAATTTCATTAATTGGATCCATTAGCCAAGCCCCCTAATCAGTTTCCTCTATTGTAAATAGAGCAGCTAAAGCCACTCTCTTTGTTATGGTTGCAAGTTGAACATTAAACGTTGCCATCTTGGTAATTACTTAAGCATTTAATTGTAGGAATTTAAAATTTCTGTAATCTGTCAAAGTAACGACGCACTTCTTGGGCCGAGATGACGATAGCTGCGCAATTTCAACACATAACGCATGTCATGACGAATAGAGGGTGAAATTCGCTCCCCCTTTGCGGTGTTTGACTGAACTAATACATAAAACTGATGAATACGCTGAGGTTTTCTTGTCAAAATTCAGCGTCTTAGTTTTGTTTGGCGGCGTGGCGTGAATTTCCTGAGCGTTTCCACGAAACCTGCCAGCTAGCCCACACCGGGAGATTACGAAGACAAACTATGTCGCTGATGGATGCTAAAGATTGTCTTTTCTAATGATACAGAGAAGAAACGTCACAGTTTGCTCAAAAGGAGTTCACATGGCCTCGATGTTCATTTGTCATCTTTGCTACCATGATGAAAAATGGACTTCCTAATATGGTGTCATTTTATGTTTGCCTCCTGTGTTCAGTTTGGATAATTTACGAGCAGGTGATGATTGCGGCGCTGGACTGCAGTCGTGACGATCTGGCCTGGGTGAGTTTTCTTTAAGTAACTTTCTCGCACTCTCTCGTCTATAGACTTTCAGGTAAGATGCCATGTTGAATGTGGATGAAAACAAGGCTGTGAGGGATAGATTTACGGACTTTACAATGGTCCGCACTGTATAAATGTCCTAGATCATGTCATTTTCAAAACTGTTTTATGGCGCTTGTGTGCTGAAAGTTTTTTCAAAAAGACATTTTCGCCAGCTGAACAATCGGTTTGTTGTTAAAGGGGTCATATGATGCGATTTCAAGTTTTCCTTTCTCTTTGGAGTGTTACAAGCTGATTGTGCATAGATAAGATCCCTGAAGTTGCAAAGACTAAAGTCTCAAAACCAAAGAGATATTTTTTATCAAAGTTAAGACTCTGCCACGCCCCCCTAAAACGGCTCGTTCTAACATGCCCCCACATATCTACCTCACTATGTGGAAATATTTGCATAATGCTGCCCAAATGTGCACGCAAAGAAAGAAGGCGTGGTTTCAGTAACCGCAGTTAGTGTTGAAGCAGCCATGTCAGGGAGACGCTGTGTGTTTCTAGGCGAAAGCAAAAGCACTTTATTTGGCCTTCCGAAAGTAGATGCATTTAGGAATCTTTAAGATTACTTACAACAGAACAGCAATGCATTTTATGGACGACCGTTTCGTGAACCTAGGAGAGGAGGTAATTCTGACTTTGCTATGACAATCTGGCGCTTCTGAATCAGCTACTGTTTTGTTATTATTTTAAGTATTTGCTATTGACTGTTCAAATGCAGAGTTTTGCGCATCGTGTGTGTGTGTGCGCGCGCGAGCAAGCAAGAGCGCGAGAGAGAGAGAGAGAGAGCGCGCGAGAGGGGGAGAGAAAGAGAGAGAGAGAGAGAGAGAGAGAGAGAGAGGAGGGGGGGTCACATCAAAGTGGAGTCAGCTGTCTTAACCGTGGCTTGTGTACTGCACACATACCAGCTTCATCACTGTCTATCACGCGGCTCTGTTCACCTTTCGGGCTCTGTCAGTGTCTTTACATTTATTTTGAAAGATGAAGCTCGCGATTATTGTAAGGGGCGTTACATTTCCGACGAGTGCTTGTGGTGTTCGGCCAATCAAAATGCACTGGGTCAGCTGGCCAATCAGAGCAGACTGCGCTTGTCGGAAGGAGGGACTTTGTAGAAAACGAAGCGTTTGAGAGAGGCGGGGCATAGAGGACCTACAATAATGTACAGTATTTGAAAAATAATGTGTTTTTTGAACATTAAAGCATGTCAACATATTCTGTTACACCAAATACACAAAATAATGATCTTTAAAAAAGCATCATATGAACCCTTTAAACATCAGTACAGTTTTTGCCAGTTGAAAATGCAATGTTTCACAGGTTTCTTTTGAAAAAAACAAACAAATGGGATGTTCCGGATCCTCCTTGTTGACTTGAGACACTTACAGTAGTCAGTTTCAGAGGTTCTTACCAGTGGCTAGGAAAACGGCGGGAAAAAACGTCTGTGAGCATGATGGGTCAGCCGAGCTAAGCCACAGAGCAAACTTTCCATTTTAACCAGGAAAACATTGGATTTGACAATAACCATTCCTCACCAAGTCATGAGTGTGGGAAAAAAAACAGGGACCTGTTCATCTCAGTGGGAATGAACTGGTAAAAGTAGCATTCTGCTTCTACTTTTTATAGTAGCCAGTGTGGAATTGTGGGATCCCGCTGTGCAGTGCTCTGAATTCTCACCCACGTCACTTGCAATTTTTCACGTCTTCCCTCACAGCTGTATGGCCGACCTGTTTATCATGGCACCCGTGGACAGGAAAGTTACTGTTTCATTTTATGGTCAGCAGAAACCTTAGCTGTAATATTGTCTTGTCAAATTAGTCACATCACACTTTTTAGAGTAGATCTATAAAGTTTTTAAATGCTGTGGATAAAAAAAAAAAAAATGTACGAAGCCCACATTTCATTACCCTTGAGAGTTGTAGTATAATTTTCAAGTGCTCTATAATCCAGCAGGCTTTGCATAGTCACTCAAACTGTGGTGCAAAGAATACATGAATTAATTCTTTGGGCAAACAATTATGACTTATGTTTAATGTTTCAGTATTTTTTATGTTAACCCTATAAAGTGCGTAGATTTTTAAAAAATTAAATTATCTGTTGACCCTTTTAAAATTAAAAATGTACATATTTTTCAGTTATTTTTGCATGTTTTTAATGTAAATCATTATTTTGTTTTTCCTGAAACACTAACCTTTGAATTATTTCTGTAGATTTTTTGTTCATAAAATAAACTTTTAATTTCTCTCTGTTCTAGTCAAAAAACAAAGAATGAAGCCAGGTTCTATATAAATAATTAACACTGCCGTTAAAAATGCTGTTCATTGGAACTTTCTATTTATCAAAGAATTCTGACAAAAATATTAGTTTCCTCAAAAATGTTAGGCAACACTGTTTTCAACATTGATATTAATAAGGAATGTTTCTTCAGCACCAAATCAGCATATTAGAATAATTTCTGAAGGATCATGCGACACTGAAGACTATTACATTTTAAAATATATTAAAATAAAAAAAACGTATTTTCAAAAAAATTTCACCGTATTACTGTATTTAAAGTAGGGATGCACGATATATCGGCCACCATATCGGTATCGGCCCATATCGGCTCATTTTTTCTGTTATCGGTATCGGCCAAAATGTTCATATCGGTGCATCCCTAATTTAAAGTATTTTTTTTTAAAGAAAATAAATTATTCCTGGTCAAGCATAAGAAATGTATTTCAAAAACATTTAACAGGCTAACTTTTGAACAATAGTGTAAATTTATAAATATATTATTAATATTTTATCTTAATATTTAGAAAGAAAACAAAAAATTTTTTTGGTTGTTTCTCACACTGGCTCAACCAATAGCAAGAATTTACAACAGCACTTTAACAGACCAGTGGAGGACAGAGAATGTTTGGAAAACCAGTTTACGGAGACTGTTTGGAAAAGTTGCATGTTCACTTGGTTAACTCCATCACTGTTGTTGTTGTTGTGTTTTGCGTAGAGTTGCCTACAGGAGCTGAAGAGGCAGTTTCCAGACAGTCACAGAGTGAAGCGATTAGCAGGGATGCGGCTGGAGGCTCTGGAGAGGTAAGACACACCGCAGCACCGTCTTAACACCACGGCCTTGGATTAGCTACAAGGGAGGGTGAGGGGAGGTTCTGGGACATAAGTGGCAGGATGCGTGGGAAGGGAGGCTGTTTATTTTGCAAGCCACCGTTCCTTCTGCTAAGTGGAAAAGCGAGAGAGAACGGTTTAGCCCTCGGTAGTCCTGTGGCTCTTTTGCCTGAGCCAGGAATTCTGAAAACGGAAGTGGTCTTTCCCGCTATTATTCTGGGGGTCCCTCTATGCTCTTTTTTTCCCCCTCTCTTTCTGTTTTTGTCTCCCTGGTTGGGAAAATAAAGGAAAACAAAGCCGGCCAGACCTCCAAACATAGTACCTATGCTCTGCGTTTCCTCTTTGAGAGAAATTCGCCCTGTCTCTATGTTTGAGCAAACAATTAAGAAGCTCATAAATTAATGTTAATGTATAAAGTTTCAGCAGGATTTCAGATGTTTCGGTCTGCACACCATATCTTCGACGTGTTTATCAGTTATGCCAGAGGCTGTTCTGTAATTGTGAGTGATTGCGCCTGCACGGTCAGATTAAATAAACTGCAAATTTGGGTCTAATTGCCATCAGACGCTCAGCTTAAATGAAACTCTCCCCTCCACACCCACATGGTTGAATCCTACATAAATAGAGTCAAAGCGGCTGGTGCCATGTGAGATGTGCCAGAGAATGATTGAGCTCTAATGTGGATGTGAGAAGAGAAGTGGCGTTGGAGCTCAATGATAATAAGAACCAGAGCTGCTTCTGTTGTTGGTTGTGGGCTGAAACAGGTTTTGATCATAAGACTGACTGCCTTGGCTGCGCCAGCGTTAGCTTTGCAGGTTGTCCCTCGTAAAAAAACAAAAAAACAAACTCGATTTCATCTTTCATTCGACATGACAAGTGAAGTGCTTGTGGCATTGTCCTCCCATTCTTCAGAAAACACTGTATGAGATCAGCATCGTAATTCATAATGTTTTTTCAAACACTGTGCTCTCCAACCCTCAGTTCAGGTTGAAGGGCCCGTCGGGTGTATTTATTTATTTTTTTGCATCTGTAACTCATAAATGTCTCTCCTCGGAATGCTTTTTAAGCGAAATGTGCTTCGAAACGATGCCTGATTTGTGGTGGAAGTGCAGGCTGATTTGTTTAGAGCTAAATCAGAGTGCAGGCAATCACGTTTGTGGATTTCACTCTTTGTGGAGCTAGTAAACTTCGCACAACATTTGAGGAGGTACAATAATGACTGTTTATTTCTGCCGCTTGGATACGTAGCCTTGGTCACTATAGAAACAAGCCGCTCTGTATACAAAAAGTTGGTTACTGTGAACTTTATGTGATAGCCCTACCACTTAATTTCACATGACTGGTGTTCCTGTTGATTATCCTTAAACATGATCTCTGTTGAAGGTATGAGGATGCCAATAAGCTGTATGACTCAATACTACAAGATGACCCGACTAATACGGTAAGCAAAAAAGTGTGGTTAAAAGTTGTTTTGCTGTTTTTTTTCTCAAGTCAGCCATATATGTTAAACTCTTTCTCACCTCAGTGACCTTAGCTAAAAGCTAAAATCACACACACGCAAACGCAGTGCACACAAGTGTGTGAGGTAACAAAGACCATTGATTTATGGACTTCAGTTGTATTAAACACGGCCGGGGCAACCTCAGCAAAAATAAATGCCTTGTCTTTTGAAAGATGGGGATTTATCGCTTTTCCTGAGACTCCATACAGAGGTCCCAGGGGTGCTGATTTTTTCCCTTCATTTTTTTTTTACTTTTAACCTCTGGATAACCTAAAGGAATAGATCATCCAGAAATGAAAATCCGGTCTTCATTTAATCATTCTAAATGCATAAGGTTTAATTTCTTCACAAATCAAATCGTTTTTGAAGTTTAAGTGAATTGGTTGGTCTAGTTCACGAAACCATTATTGATGATTCATCCACAAATTGACTCATTCAGTTCTTGAGGTCAACTCAATGACTCAGTGATCCTCTAGAAGTGAGGATCAGTGAATAACAAATAAAATTTTGGTTTGTTTTTCACACAAAGTTACACTACCATTCAAAACATATCAATGCTCAAAAAATTGCTAAAAACAATACAGAATAAACAATAATATTGTGAAATATTATTGCAATTTTAATACCAATATTTCAAAATGTAGTTTATCCCTGGCAAAGGAATGACAAAGCTGAATTTTCAGCAGCCAACTTTAGTCTTTGGTGTCACATGGTCCTTCAGAAATCATTCTAATATGCTGATTTTGTGCTCAAGGAAACAGACTTCTAAATATCGAAAACATATTTGCTTCTTAATATTTTTGTGAAAAGTATAATCCTTTTTTTTCAGATTTCTTTCAATAGAAAGTTCAAAAGAACAGCATTTACGTTAAATTCAGGTTGAACTGGGGCACATTTTGTCATTGAGATGACGAGAAAAATTGTCCAATCATCCTGAATTAACCCGTATTTGAAATAGAAATCTGCTGCAACATTATAAATGTATTTTCTGTCACTTTTGATCAATTAAATGCTTATTTTGTGAATAAATATATATATATATTTTTTTAAACAATCTTACTGACTCCAAACTTTTGAACGGTAGTGTATTTTATTTTTGGGTAAACTCCCTTTAAAGTTTTTGGTTCAGTCTTTATTTATTATTTAAAGATCGCTTAGGTATTAAAAACCCAAATGTACCGTTAGCTATTGATTTGTCTTGTCTTGGCGTAACACATGAAGCCTGTTTTTTATTCATTTAATATTTATTGAGTTTCAGTGGAGTGGTTTACAGTATCCAAGTTTGCTCCATGTTTTTCCAATATTTTTCCACAATCACCTCAAAACATATTGTACCTGCCCTTCATTCTTACATAAGGGCTGTGCAGCGATGCAAGAAAATAAATGTTTTAAAGTGTTTTCATAACCTTATTTGTTTTGGCCCATCCCTGTAGACGCAAAACACATTTTTTGCGCCGTCTTTACACATGGACTTGCTTAGATATTTTAAACATTTTTTTAATATAATTTGGGACCTCGTACTGTTTTGTTACGATGAAATGTGGCCAGCATATTCTTTAAAAAAAAAATCACTTTTTGTGTTTCTACAGAAAGTCAAGCGGGCTTGGAACAAGTGAATAAATAATGACAAAATGTTGGGGTTTTCATTTTAAGCAATTGCTTCAAGCTATATGTCTTCATTTTGTGGGTGCAAAAAAACCTCCTGTCCTCTGTCCTCTCGTCCCTGCATTTGTTATATCATTACCATTGATATTTATTTAACTATCTGTTACTGTTGGACCAAACTGCTCCCATCCATCTTTCTCCCTCTGAAAACGAGAGCCCTGCACTGTTTGTTTTTTGTGCATTTCAACCGAGGCACTCTCCCTATTCCCATGATCAAGGTTAAATTGCAAGCACATTTAACGGCGTGTAAATGGGAAGTTGAGAAGATCGACGCAAAATGGATATCATCAAACCAGTGTGGTTACATTATTCTTCACAATCTAGTAATCATATCGCTTTGCCCCTCTGTTAACATCCAAAAGATATGAAACAAATTTCCCCTCAGGGAAATATGTTTCCCAGTGTTATCCAAGCCAAACACGCTTTGGAAAAGAATGTGGCAATAGCGGGATTTTTGCTGACGTCCTCATCAAAGTCTTGCATTTTACGTGAACTTTGTCTTCTGTAGTAATAAAACCATGAGGTGAAATATGATATTCCATTACTAAACTCCTGCAGGTAGAAATATAATATTTACATGCATACCTTTTGTGAAATCTACTGGGTAAACTTAACTCAAAATTGTTAAACTGGGTTTTTATTTATGAACTGTCATTTTAACCCAAATTTGAATTGTCATCATCAATATAATGAAATGGTCCTTTTACACACAGTTCAGCAGAAAAATCGCTGGAAAATTCTGTCCAACCACGTCTCATTACCTCATCAGTCTCTCGCAGAAGCCGGCTGCAACCATCATCTCCTAAAAGGAAATGTGCATTTGTGAATGATCACTCAGACAGCCATCTTTTTTTTTTTTAACCAGGAAGTCTGGGAAATGAAGTGAAAAGGGCTGACAGATTCTTAAATATTTGCATGATCGCTCTGTGAAATGTCATGCTGTAGGATTTTACTCTTTCATGACTTATCATTAGGTGGCTCTCTATGTCAAAAGATCAAAACAGGCCATCAGTGTAGCCATCAGGGGCACGTTTCTCAGTGAAAAGCAGAAAAATCCCATGTCTTATCTTCATGCAGAATGCACATTGACAGGACATGGAAGGCTTGGTAGAATTCACCCACTTATGGAAATGGTGTATGCGAGAACCATGTGAAACACCCTGACACAATTAGGTCCAGCCCAGGTTTTTCTGATGGCCCTGAAAGAGATTTGCCTGTTTCCTGATATCCAAACGCAAGTCGCCTCCCATCAAATCCTATGCGTTTTGAGGAAGGGAATGGAAGAAAACCATGGAAGAGTTGTTGTGTATTTTCCCACAATCCAATCCCAGGCGGGGTGAGGAGGTTGTGGTATGGGAGGCATGACATCATCTAGGTCACCTGTCTGTAAATGCAAGGCTTATCTAAACGCTGTGTTTTTTAACATGTTCAGTGGAATGGGATGAGGGCACGATCCAAGAAAATGGCGGAAAATTGGCGACTTCTGCGAGGACTTGTGAGGCATCCCAGCATGCGGAGCTGAGATTGGAAACTGAACTGTTGTAATTATAGGCTGTGGAATAGATGTGGTACCCATTAACCAAAATTGTTGAATCAACAAAAATTGCTCAAGGTTTCTCTGCCATGGCGGTGTCCAAAAATTTTTTCGAACTCCTAGCCCTTCCATCGCTCATTATGGTCCAATACCTACAGCAACGATTTAGAGAAGTTCTTCTTTGCTTCTGTCAATCTATCTGTCTATCTATCTATCTATCTATCTATCTATCTATCTATCTATCTATCTATCTATCTATCTATCTATCTATATCGCTCTATCGCTCGCTCTATCACAGTATCGTTTGCTCTATCAAACTATCTGTCAATCTAACTACCTACCTATCCATCTATCACTCGTTCTATCAGTCTATTGCTCATTCTTTCCATCATCTATCTTTGAAGTGGTTTACCTTTACTCACCTAAAACAGTGCCCATTGCTGAACACTTAAATGTAATGTTGACAAGTAGGGATGCACCGAAATGTAAATTCTTGGCCGAAGCCGAAACCGAACAAAATTAAACACTGGGCCGAATACCGAACACTGAGTTTTTTCCCCCATGTATTTTGCCAATTTTTTTTTCACCATTGCATAAATTAAAAAGCCAAAATGTGCTTTTTACTGTTTTGTCTTGCTTTTCAAAGAAAAAATATATTTATGTAATATTTAACACTGAACACTTTTAACATTCTAGCAGCGAGGGCAGATTTTCCTCGCGCTTTGAACTTTGAACCCTGGTTAACAAGCAGATCTGCTGCGAGTTCGTGCAGCGCTGTCAGAATACATGCAATGCACGCGTGTATTAGAAAACATAACGTTCTGCAGTTTATTTACTAATTGTTTAAAGCCATTTCGCGATTTCAATCATCATACAGTAACCAGCAACAATCATCCCTTCCTCTTCTCATCGAAGACATGCGATGCAGTCCTAAACAGTCTCTCGCTGTCTGTGCTTGTAATGATTTTTGCGTCTTTCTCCCACAGTTTAAATGCTTCCACACTGCTGATGTGTGTGCTGCATAATAAAGAGTGCGCGGTCACTCTGTGCTGGTTGCTATTTGATCACGACATATCATTGTTTGGTACAATTTATTCGGTCTTTTCGCTTTTTCGGCCGAATAATTTCGGTTGCTGAACATTCGGTGCATCCCTATTAACAAGCTATTTATTTTAACACTGCTTGACATAGCAGGCTTACTGCATTCACTGAATTTCAGCACTTTCACTCTGCCTGTAATTCAGCAGGATAAACATGGTTGTGCTTGTGAAAGCAATTGAGGTCAATGAGAATCCTCCTGAGGTTGACCCCTAGAATTACGCGCAATTACAGTGCAGAAACAAGATGGAGTTTGTAAAGGTCAAACCGATTTCTTCTGAACTGACACTACATTTTGGTCCAACTATATTTTTTTCATACAGTTCTTAGAAAACGGTTTGACTTTTCTGTGCAACACAAAAAGAAGATATTTTTTGTCTATATAGTGAAACTCAGTGGGGTCTTATGTTTCTTTACTCCCTTTTGAGTTGCATTTGTGTAGACAAGTACAGTTGGAACATTCTTTAAAATAATATGTGACATGAGGGTGAGTAAATGATGACAAAATTATAATCTTTCCTTTTAGCGTTGCTTCAGAAGATTTGTATGTTCTCATGAATTTGGACTTTTTTTACATTTAGTTTTTATTGTGAAAACACAACCACCTTTTTTGAAACAACACTCTATGAGAACATTATTCTAAGCCTTTTAAACACTGTTAGAAAGAACTTATTGACTGCTACTGATCATTTTTATTTCTTAAGCCGTTCCTGTAGATTTGGTCTGGGTCGACTGCTACTGATAATTTTTTCTTAAGCCATTCCTGTAGATTTGGTCTAGATATGCTGAAACCGCTAGCAGGTAATTATCTTATTTGAGGATGAATTTGAAGTCAGGTCGTGTCGGTACACCACAACGCTGAGAGTCAACTCCTCTTCACCTTGTGGGAACGACGTTTGCCTTTGAAATCCCTGGAGGTGGGCTCTCAACGGCAGTCTGAAAGTGGAGCCAGGGGTTGATAGAAGCAGCCAGGTCCTTCACGGTGAGAGCCACTCAGAAATGCTTAAGAAGAAAGAATCGCAAAGAGAATGAAAATGAGATGCTGGCCTTTCCCGGATCACATCGAAAGAGAAGTGAGAGGGAGGGAAAGAAATAAAGAGACTGAAATGGTTTGGAATAGCTCATTGTTTAATAAAGTTTCGTAAGACGCTCTGGTCTACCAGCCTCCGTATGTTTCTGTCAGTGCCAAGTGCACTAAGAGGAAACGAAAGACAGATATGAGGGCCGAGTAAATAACCTGCGGTCGCAAACAGCCTTCCATCTTGTTCAGTACAAAGAAATCATTTGTTGGCAGAAACTGAACTTAACAATAACATTTGATAGCTTAAACTATTTGGAATTGCCGTTTGATTCCGATCCACCGTTTCTTTGAATACTTTTGGAGGAAAAAGTTATATAGCGATACAGAACGCATACAATAATCCAAACAGGTTGAGGTTGTAGCTCTAGCCTTATTTCACCTGTCATCTGCAGCCCGGTAATGTGAAACCTTGTCTTCCGCTGATCCAGTAAGTACTATCAGACTTGCGTACAGTAGGGGTTTGGCAGTTCATCAACTCCTTAGCTCGAGCAGCCAGTGAAGCAGGTTCGTCTGGCCGCCTAGTTGATGGATAAGTAGATATGGAGTGGCGGTGGTATCATAGCAGTTCCAGATTTATGGCCTTTCAGACGTGACTCATGCCCGGCTTGATGGAGTTTGGTCCGTGCTGTGGTAGTAGGGAAGACCCACTCTATCAAGTGCCAGTTCATAAATAATATCTGGGGCACTTCAAACGGTAAAGCTTCTGCTCTTTGCTCTCCTTTCACCAGCGAAGGGAAAAAAAAGCCACCCCTGGAAAAGTCGTCGAACCTGGCATAATACTTTCTGTTTCAGATTGATGAGATTGTAATCCACCTGAAGGTCACTTCTGCGTCGGAACAAGGCGGACGTTATTTGTGGCTGATGCAAACTGGGCTTTGTAAGTTTGTGAATGCATATGGCCCGCGGCTCTTTGGCAATGTGTTATTTTCACCACTTGAAATGGGTACTTGCTCTTCCTTATGTGAGCAGCATCCTCGCTGATGCTCGTGCGCCATAAGCCAATGGCTTTCTAATCTGATAAAGACATTACTTCTCGGTATCTGCTGTTATATTACTTATGACTTGAATGCAGTAATCATATGCCTTCATGGAAATGTCATATTGGACAATCTGATGGTGCAAGGCTGTTTATTATAACACTGCCTCAGGGGAGGGAAAAAAAGGACTGCACATGCACTTCTGTCCAGTGACGGACAGCATTTATTTCTACATAACACCCTGTTTCAAAGAAGGATAGATGCTTTTAGGCTGTTGCTGTAAGGCTGTTTTAAAATATACATTGTAACATTCACAACCCCTGCCATAGTTGGAAGGTTAAGAGTGTTAAAAAGAACATGAGATTTGAATTTTGTAAATTTTACCTTTTAGATTGAACATGTATCAAAATAGAATTTAGTAGCATATTATATAGTTTTGAATTTTAACTTCTAAATATGAAGTTGGTAGTAGGGAAGACCCACTCTATCAAGTGCCAGTTCATAAATAATATCTGGGGCACTTCAAACGGTAAAGCTTCTGCTCTTTGCTCTCCTTTCACCAGCGAAGGGAAAAAAAAGCCACCCCTGGAAAAGTCGTCGAACCTGGCATAATACTTTCTGTTTCAGATTGATGAGATTGTAATCCACCTGAAGGTCACTTCTGCGTCGGAACAAGGCGGACGTTATTTGTGGCTGATGCAAACTGGGCTTTGTAAGTTTGTGAATGCATATGGCCCGCGGCTCTTTGGCAATGTGTTATTTTCACCACTTGAAATGGGTACTTGCTCTTCCTTATGTGAGCAGCATCCTCGCTGATGCTCGTGCGCCATAAGCCAATGGCTTTCTAATCTGATAAAGACATTACTTCTCGGTATCTGCTGTTATATTACTTATGACTTGAATGCAGTAATCATATGCCTTCATGGAAATGTCATATTGGACAATCTGATGGTGCAAGGCTGTTTATTATAACACTGCCTCAGGGGAGGGAAAAAAAGGACTGCACATGCACTTCTGTCCAGTGACGGACAGCATTTATTTCTACATAACACCCTGTTTCAAAGAAGGATTGATGCTTTTAGGCTGTTGCTGTAAGGCTGTTTTAAAATATACATTGTAACATTCACAACCCCTGCCATAGTTGGAAGGTTAAGAGTGTTTTTTTTAGTTTTAAAGCATTTTCTATACTTTGTCTTTTTTTTTCTTTTTTTTTATAAAAAAGAACATGAGATTTGAATTTTGTAAATTTTACCTTTTAGATTGAACATGTATCAAAATAGAATTTAGTAGCATATTATATAGTTTTGAATTTTAACTTCTAAATATGAAGTTTACACATACATTTATTTATTTTTCTTTTCTGAGGTTAAAAATCTCTATGTAATATTCCACAGAAATGTTTTTGGTAAGTATCAAGTGTCTAAATAAAAAATAAAGAAAAGGAAATACAATTTAGAACAAAAATATGCCACACAAAAAAAAACATCACATGTTTTTGTAACACATCACATCTATAATTATTATTAACACAATGCTAAATCAGTTTTTAACTTATTTGCCACAAGTCAGAAGTCTGGATGTCCAAGTGATAGGTGATCAATTTCTGAAACTGAAATAGGACTTTTTGTTCTATCTGTAGCGTTATTTTGTGACAATCTGACAGTGTTTGACTTCACTGTAATATATCTAAATTGATTTTAGCATTTAAAACTCAGAATCAGTATTTGTCTGATCTAAACTCGTAAGATGGAGTAAAATCCAACTATGTTAAACTGTGATGCCGTCCCTGTTGTCTTCAGAGTCTGATCAAAACAAAACAAAAAACCCAGGGGATTGCGGAGATTCCTTCAGCTCTCACAATACTATGATTATTTACACATCCCTCTTTCTTTCACTCTTTGCTCTTTTCTGTTGCTAACAAACACTTGAAACTCTAAAGCCCTAATCCTCTGTTGATGTCAACTCAACAGGCAGCAAGGAAGCGCAAGATCTCCATCCTGCGAGCGCAGGGCAAAAGCAGCGAGGCCATCCGCGAGCTCAACGAATATCTGGAGCAGTGAGTGTTTTACAAGAGGATTTAGACCCCCCTTTACCCTTCCCCTCCTCTTTTTAATTAAAAAAGGTTTTGCATTTGATTGAGTTGGCCCCCAAGCCTTTCCCTAACCCCCTTTTGTCCACAGTGGCCTTTCTGATGAGCTAACTACCACTACTCTGTCTTGCAGGTTTGTGGGAGACCAGGAAGCATGGCATGAGCTGTCAGAACTCTACATCAATGAGCATGAGTAATGATTTCTTACCTAATTTTAATTTTGGAGTCTTTTTTTTGCTTTATTCTTGCAAGAAGTTGATAGAACATGAGGGTTAATCAAATTGTCTGTGGTCCAACTGACCCCATACGGAAACAACATAAATAGAAAATATTCACTTTTCTGAAAATTACTTTTCATGGCAAAACAGGGAAAAGTACAATTATATCTGCATACTGGGTTTCAATAAGCTCAGATGAATTTGACGTGAAAAATACAAGATTAATTTTAATCCATACTTAATTGTGTAAAAAAACCTGTAGTCTATTCCATCAAATGTCAGTATTAATTAATTATTTTATTTTTGTAAAATTTCAGTTATCTGACATTAGAGGGGTTTTTTTCAGTATCAGTCGATATTTAATTGTGACATTTAGATTACTCACTGAAAGATAATCTTTTTTAAAAGAATAATTGTTTAATAACACTGCAAATCTCAAGAGAAATATCCATTTTTCATACTCTACATTATATTGTTTGATGCCATAAATTCACTTGTCGCTTTTGAAATAATTTGATATTTTGTACTAATTTTAATTTATTAAATTTAAAATATAAATATAAAATTTTAAATTTATACACGTCAAAACAGTATAGAATTATTTACATCTGCCATTTATTGGTTATGCCCATAATGTAAAAATAATTATCAACTAGTTGGAAATTAGCTAGAATTGGTTAAATTGTATTTATTTATTTTTTTCATTTATTTTTTGGAAAATCTGAGCATTGTAAATGTCAACAGATTTACTTCAGTGTATTGTTTAATGTTAAGATTGACTTTAGTGTATTGTTACACAATGTAGAAATATACAGTTTTTCCTTCCTAAACTATAATTTTAAGATATAATTTCATCTCATCAAAAACATTTAATCAGTCACCAGTGTGTCAGTAAAATGTCCAGAAGTTGTCCGCACGGAATGTGATGTTTACGAGGGTTGTGAGGTCACATTCACCAGCATCTTGCAGGTCATTCTCAGGACCTTCGGTTGACGTGCGACGGTTGCTGCAGAGCTGTGGGACCCTCTGAAGTAAAAGACAGTGAAATGCCAGTCTCAGCCAGGGGCCCTGCTTAAAGCTCCATGTCTGTTTGTCCTATGGAGTAGGGCCATAATAGGATTTGTTCCTTGAGCCCCCTCTCCAACTCCTGGGATAAGACTGTGCTCCCCTGCTGATATCTCTTTTACCAGGGGTTACTTTCTGCCAGGCATCAGGATTGCAGGAAACTTACTTTGTCTTCTCTCCTCCATCCTTCTTTAATTGTTTTGATCTTATTGTCCACGAGGGGGGCTACGGGGTGTTAGTATGAGTGTGAGAGAGAGAGAAAAAGTTGGTTGTCCCGGTCGGAGGGCGCTGGCCGTAAGAATGCAGTCGCTCAGTGAGAGCACCGCTTATTAGATACCTCACGGTTTTGTGTAAAGGGCTTTATTGCTGTAGCTGACAGAGGAAATCCAGGGGTGAGAGGATTATATACCCACTTAGCCCAACTTTTCTAATATCACACCATTCTCTGACAACCCCCTATCTATAGGCGTGTCAGTGTCACTCTTTTTCTTTTTTCCCTTTCTATTTCTGTTCTTTATTTCAGGTCACAAGACTCGCTTTTTCCCTTTCCCTCCTCTTCCGGCAAAGCCTGCATTATCACATCTCTCTTCCACGCTGTGAAAGAAGAACAGGAGAAAAGGGAAAAAGAGAAATTCCCAAGAGAATGAGGTGGCACCCATTCTCCCAACCAGTCAAAACAAGATGAAGACAAACAAACGCCACCCTACCAGCTGATTACATAGCTATAACGGGTGGCTATCTACACTAAGTCCATAGTACAAGTAGGCCACTAGTGAATGACACTTTTAAAATTAGAATTAAACCAAATACTACTTTGGTAAAGAAATGTGACAAAGTGGTGAATTATTTGCTAGATTTAGGTTGCAGGGTGCAAAACTAGTTGGTCTTAAATGAGCCCTGTATTGTTACACTGGTTGGTCATGTAAACCAAACACAGATTAGACTACACTTGTCAACATTTGAAGTGGATCAAAACCTTTCATCAAAGTTCTCCTAAAACCTAAAACCAAAATGCTTTCTTGTCTTAGGACAACTTTGATAAACTTTTTTGATCCACTTCAAATGTTTACTACTGTAGATTCTGTAAAAATCAGTTAGATGGAGCGTACTAGAAAGGAAAGTCTTGATAAACTCAGTTTACATCACTAATCGGGGTTTGTATGCCTATATAGTTATTTTATTTTAGCTTTAGTTATTTTAGTATATCAAGGTAAACAAAATAAAAATGAGAAATGTTTCCAAGGCAACTACCTGAAATTAAAATAAGGTCAAGTTTTTTTATAATATTATAGTACAATGTACGTTTATTTTATTTGAAGTAAAAAAAAATTTATAATCCTATATTCAATTAGATTTTTATTTATATCTCCCAATGTGGCTTTATATCTTTATAAATGTGACTTAACATCTTACAATGCTATTTTAAATGTTATCTACAAATTAAAATCGCATTGTGAAATTTAAAGTTAGAATTTTGGTATATAACGTCAAATTTGTGAGAGAGACAAATTTTGAGATTTAAAGTCAAATTAGGAGACAAAATCAAATCATAAATCAAAATTTCAATTACTCTGAGACAGAAAAGCGCTTTCTTATTTCAAATGGAAGACTGGTAGAGTTGGCCGTGGATGTTGAATGCTCAGGTAGTGGGTGTTGAGTTCAGTAGTGATGTAGATTGATGCATGCCTTGCTTTCTCTGTGTATCTCCATGTCTATCTCTCTCTCACTCTTTGCACTGCTCTGACGCAGTTTATGCCATGGCAGGAGCACATCTGAAAGTCTTTATGGAGAGGAAATGGTAATTGCAAGCAGCCTTCAACCTTCTGAGTGGCCTGATCTTACTGGCTCACTCCTTTAACCTCTTTGACTGTCTCTCTTTGTATTCAAAGTCCCTTGAACCTTTTTCTAAACGGCTAGATAGACTCATCATCTCATACAAGTCAGCAACGGCAACCAAAAAAAAGTCCAGTTTGCGTCAATACGTTATTTCTACCAGTCGTAAGATTACCATCCATAACCCGATTGGACGCACTCCAGCTCTGTTATACGGTTTGATGTGTTGTGATAAATTGATATGTGTGCGCAAGCATGTACAATGTGGGCCTTGATGTGTGGACCTCGCACGGAACGAGATCAAGCTTGCTAACGGTAGCTGAAAAAAACGTTTTCGGTTTTCGGGATTTGAGGCGGTAACGAGCCTTTCACCGTCCACAGCTTTTGGACACATTTGGCTCATTTTTGTGTCTTGTGGCTTTGTCGTAATAGTCCTGAAGTTCTTTTTGAAATTGTTTGGTTTTTTTGGTTGGAGCATTGGGGAAATGTGCAGGCCCATGTTGTATACTTATAATGGAGAGAGTGTCTGAGACATGAAACTGTAAATTAGTGTGAGGTCAGCGGCTCAGCTGTGATATCATGTGGAAACGGCAGTCTCGAGATGTCAATGATGATGCCAGGGACAGATTGGTAGACCAGATTCATCTTTGGCCTTCAATAAAAAGGTGATAATGAATCTAGGGCAGGATTGCCACTAGATTTTGCACTTCTGTTGCAAAACTTTGTTCATCATTTGACCATATGGGTGTTCATACACAGATTTCCATTGACCCTCATAAAAGCTGATGTAAGGGAAACCTCAGACTGTCATGTCTATATACATGCTTGTTTTCGATCATATGAAGGCGAATTCATAGATACTAAACAAGGTAGGATTACATATAGTGAAAGAATGACAGGAATGGGTTCCATCATAAGCATGCCTAAAATAGTCTAAACAATCAAAGACAACATACACCATGACCTGAAGGATACACTGTTCATTCAAAGAAAGGTTTTCCTATGAATTAATTAGTAGAAAAGTCCATTTCTACTGTGCATTTGTGCCTCTTGCTTCTGGAAAATGCAGCTGAGAGTCTCTGCTCACATTCCACAAGGTTGTAAAAGTATCTGGTGTCAGGGTTGTTATGGAACCAGGGGCCTGTTCGGCTTCCTGGGGTGTTACAGAGTATTTGTTAAATCTAGCTAACAAAATATATATTGTGTGTTTGAGTGGTCCAGACGCTACACTTGACTGTAAACGAGATTGAGCTTCGCTTTGCGTGATCAGCCACAAAGCTACTGGGAGATGTTTTCTATGATCTTAATTTTTTCTCTCTCTTGTTTCTTTCCCACAGTTACGCAAAAGCAGCTTTTTGTCTTGAAGAGCTGATGATGACGAATCCACATAATCACCTGTACTGCGAACAGTACGCGGAGGTATAGTAGCTTTCTTTCTCCCTGCCTGAAACAAATGTTCCTTTTCAATATAAGATGATTTTTTTAAAGGGGTTATATGATGCGATTTCAAGTTTTCCTTTCTCTTTGGAGTGTTACAAGCTGTTTGTGCATAGATAAGATCCCTAAAGTTGCAAAGACTAAAGTCTCAAAACCAAAAAGATATTCTTTATAAAAGTTAAGACTCGTCCACGCCCTCCTAAAATGCCTCGTTTAAACATGCCCCCACATGTCTACGTCACTGTGTGGGAAGATTTGCATAACACCGCCCAAATGTTCACGCAAAGAAAGAAGGCGTAACTTTGATTCTCGCTGTAGTATTGTTGCCACCGCCGCCATGTCGTGGAGACGCTGTGTGTTTCGTTGTGAAAGAGAAACTACTTTGTTTGGCCTTCCAAAAGAGGACACAACTAGAAATCAGTGGTTAAGTTGTATTTACAACACTGTTCCAGAACAGTACAAACCAAATATTCGAGTGTGTGCAGCGCATTTTATGGAGGACTATTTCCTGGGAGAGTAGCCTACAATGCAGCTGTGCACAAAGGCTGTTTCTATAAAATGGGGCAATTCCAACTTTGCAAGGACTGTCTGGTGCTTCTGACTCACAGCCTGTAAGTCAGATCACAAATGTAGACATGATTTTATGTTTACGCGGCTCGATATGCAACGCAATGCATAAAAAGACAGTATAAGTCATTATAATCAGTAATTATGTCCCCACTGCTGGACAAAAAAAATTAACTTAAATGATTTTAGCAAATGGCTGCAATATAACAAAGAGTGAAAAATTTAAGGGGGTCTGAATACTTTCCGTACCCACTGTATATATTTGTATACACAAACTATTAACTTGTATATTTATTGTCCGTGTAGGATCTTATGTTTGAATATATTCTTGTTTTTATCAAATATTTTATTGTTAAAATAATGAAAAGTCACAGCATTTTTGTTGATGAGTTTTTCTCCTGTTGTTCAGTCTATGTACAGACATAAAAGTTTGCATCAGTTATTCAAATCTTAGTCAAATCCTTTTATATCTTCTGTGTTAATCCAAGTTGTGTTTTCTATCACCCCCCCCAAACCAACCAACCTTAACCATGACCACACTTTTTCCTGCCACTTAAGTGGGTTGCCCAACCCACCGTAAAATCTCATTGGTCCAACATCCTTATCCACACCATTATTAAACATTGAATATATTCTAATAGGGTCTGATTTTTGTCGTTTGCAACATTGCATTTGTAATGTAGACAGAAAACACATCGCCATATAAGCTAGAACTCCCTTTTAGCACTCTATGACTAGGTGCATCCATCATGTTGTTTGCTTGTATAGGATTTTCCTGTTTGTTTAGATCATGTTCTGTTTATTTAGATCTCATGTCAGCTTTAAGTGTGCCTATAACGCAACATCACCTTTCTGTTTCCTCTACAATCTCCCCCAGGTAAAGTATACCCAGGGAGGTCTGGAAAACCTCGAGCTGGCCAGGAAGTATTTTGCGCAGGCACTGAAGCTTAACAACAGAAACATGAGGGCCTTGTTCGGCCTTTACATGGTGAGTTGTTCAGAAAACAGACACCTTCTCTATTTCTCTTTTTTGTGCATGTGAATGGATCCAGAGGCTGTGATTGGTTCACACGGGAGCAGTTGCAATTGATGTTACCAAGCCCTGTGATGGAAAAACTCGCAATATTTTTTTTTTATTTTTAGCTGTAACGTAACCCGCCGGACCTTTGTAGGTAATTTCTCTGTTTATTCCAGAGATAAACAAACCTTTGACAATAAAAGAATGGTAGAGAAATGGCAACCGTTCCGTCACACGTGGCTCTGCTGGAAAGGTTCAAGCAATATGTGCGCTGAATAAGCCTTTCATCTGTATTTATTTAAACAGGAAGTTGTCCATTAACACCAATGCATCATTTGTAAGTGACTCCTGACATATGAACACAAACAGCCAGCCAGGGGCAGAAGGCTGACAGAGAGTACGCAGGGAGCTACACACAGGCCCTCTGTTCAAACATACACGCACACGCGCAAGCTTCAGTAGTTCAAACACAGAACCATGACAGTCATCAGCGCTCCCTGATATGCGATTTGCACGTGAAACAAGGCCGGTAATAGCAGGATGTCAGTCAGTACAACAAAACCAAGAGCCTGTTACTAGGAGTGTGAACCTACACTGGTCTCACGGTTCGGTTTGATTATGATTATCATGTCATCGATTCGGTTCAATTCGATATCACGATGCATCACAATGCATTGACGATGCACTGCATCCTCAATTTTCAATTTTACTTCACATGTATACAATTTTGTCAATAAATACATGCAGTCAGATATATGAACTGTACCTGATGTGGTTTCTCAAGTTAGTGGTATTACCCCCTGCATATTTTATTGTGCGTGACGTGATTTACACACAGCCGAAATGTGCCCAGATGTCGGCTTTTAAAGTAGTTGGAGCATTTTTAATTACTCGCACTCGCTTGTCGCCTCCCTCCGCTATTAGGTGCATTCGACTTGAAGCGGCACTGCGCAGAATGATCAGTGTATGATATCAACCGCGAGAGCGATTTGAAAGCATAAGGATCCGTCTGCTCGCTTATCGCTCTCGTGGTACTTGATGTCATACACTAATCATTCTGCACAGCGGCGCTTCAAACCGAACGTGCCTAATGTATGCTACCGCGACAAAGCACGTATGCGACAAATGACGTCAGAAAAGTGTCAGTACGTTATAATCGGTTATGGTCTTTTACTGAACTGATACCGAATCGTCCTCATCTGCATCGCGATGCATCGTAGAAACGATTAATTTCGACACCCCTACCTGTTACCCAATCATATGTGGCGAAAAATGACACCATCCAGCAAAAACACGAGAGATTGTGACTGAATTTGTCAACTGACAAAAAATGTTTGTTAATGAGTGTTTTTTTATTTTGTCAAAGATAATGAAGGTGAGCCAAAAAAATGTGCATTATGAGGAAAAGTCAATTATTTTTCAATGACTATCGCACAATTCTGGAAATGCACAAGTGGACTCACAACAAGAACAGTTTTCACATATTGTTTTTCTTAAATGGTCATACCAGTGTTCTTAACGATACTAGTGTAAACCTATTAAAAATCAGTTTTTTTTTTCTGGACTCCTTTTTAATGGTTAAATTACATTTTATTAATCAAAAAGCATGTCTAATTAATTAAAATCATGAAACTTAAACAATTTAACATCAATTTATTAAAAGTTTAACAAATATTACGTTTAGGGCCCTATAAAATGTTTTATTTGTCCAACCTTATGTTTTATTGTAACCAAATTCTGTTTTAGCATGTCTAATTTGAAAGCATAAACCATGTTTCATTTATTCTTACAATAGCCTTATGATTTTTTTGCTCAGAAATTCTGTGTTGTGTATTTACATTCTGTTTTAAGGCATAAAACGTTCATTTAATCTATCTTTTAAGTAATGAAAATTAAACAAATTTAATTTTTTGGAAAATAAAGGTCATTTAATATTACAATTAAAACATTGAAGAAATATTGAATGCTTATTCCTTAAAAATAAGGTTTTAATAATTTTAGTAGTAGTAGTAGCAGTCTGCCCTCAAGTTAAACCGAACTTTTATTTTGACGGGTTGCCGTGAATACCATTACATTTCTGTGTGTGTATGACATGAAGATAGTTTTACTGAAATGAAACGGTCAAATGCTGATGAAGTGACTCTCAGAGCAGTGGTGGAGATGTTGTTCATGTATTTATGTCCTCATTAGTAATATCACCGGAAGCGTCACGAGTGTTCCAGTACGAGTACTACACAAAACCGCGCGTCTGCGCCATTCAGTAACACTGAATATTTAAATATGAATAGTTTAGGGGGGTTTAGCCCACCCAACGGCACCCCCCGCCCCCCTAAAATAATGGCAGGGGAAACACTGACTTTTTTACACCACAGACTGAACAAAATTAAGCATTGCTAGGTAATTGGTTGACCTAAATTTGGTATTATCTAATTGTGTACTTAAATTTAACAGCTGACAGCTATTCAACCTAATTCATTACATACCTTTCTATCAAAGTTATCTGACATTATCAAGATGAAATTGTTCTGACACAGTTTAACTCTTGTCATATTTTATTACCATTTTCTAATCTATAGCGAATAAACTCTGATAATGTGAGAAATGTTGAAGGTATCTGAATACATTTTGGTTTGACTGTATATAAATATTAGATGAAATAAAAAAACTTAAATGAAAATTAGAAAAGTTGACTTGGAAACTACCTGAAATAAAATAAGGTTAACTACTAAAATTAGTAAAACTAAAAAAATTAAAGATAAATAGAAATAAAAAAACAAAACCTAATAAAAGTGACTAATCACATACAAATATTACTAAAACTTAAAACTAATATAAAACAATTTTAAAAAAGAAAAGTAAAAATTATTTGAAGTATTAATAAACTATAATAGTATATAAATATGCAGTTGATACATGATGTTTGAGTTAATATAACATTTTGGAAAATTTGCTTTCATTTTTCAGTTCAGGTAAAATGTTGTTTTCATCAACAGTAAATTTGATGAATAAATGACAAAATATTGATTAAATTTACAGGACATTTTCGCCAAAAGACTATAACTAAAACAAAAAAGCAGTATAAAAATTATTACAGATTGGGACTCGAGTGACCAAAAATGTTCCTTAACAGGGCCTATTTGCCACATCTCACCAACCTTACACACCCCAAAATCCAGAAGCCGAGGGATTTGCCTCCAGAAACAGAGATGAGGTTGATTGTGTACAGTTAAAGTTTCAGCACATCCATGGGGAAGGGCTTTCATGCTAGCCGACAGAGTACTGCGAGCTCTGCTGAGCTGGTCTAATAGCAATAATGAGGGAAAGATGGAGGATTTGTGGTTGTGGAACGGAGATCTTGTAGCGGCTGGAGAGCATGATTCACGTTGTGCTATGCCGTTCACACGCCGCCTCCCTGAAACTCCCAGGCTTGTCAGCACCGCCTTTCCTATCTCTGATGCGAGACACATCAAGCTGTGTTAACACAGCGCCCTGGCTTTTTTTCGCTACTCAACCAGGCTCAAAACTATCACATTTTCCACCCTTTAAAAAATACCCTCCGTTGCCATCAGAGTTTAGCCACCCTTCCATTATGTGGGCTTTAAGTGGGAGTCGATGGGTATTTATCTCATGACTCTTTATTGACGCTTTGCAGGAATGGTGATACTCTAATCTTTATGTGTTTCCCCCAACACAGTGGTCCATCTCACCCTTGTTTGTTGTCTCTTCTCCTGCAGTCGGCCAGTCACATCGCTGCCAGCCCAAAAGTTAGCGCAAAGGTGAAAAAGGACAATGTGAAGTATGCCGCGTGGGCCACTTCTCAGATTAGCAGAGCCTATCAGGTGAGAGGAGTTCATGAGTAGGGATGTTGATTCAGTTTATCTGAATTTATCAATTTATGGATATATAGATAGATGTATCTGTTTATATATATATATATATACACACACACATATTATGCATTTTACAGTTCTGTTGAAAAGTTTGGACATTGGAGTTTTTTTTTTTTAATGAAACTAATACTTTTATTCAGCAAGGAACGTGTAAAATTCATCAGTCGTGACATTTATCATGTTACAAAAGATTTCTGTTTCAAATAAATGCTGTTTCTTCAAACATTCTATTAACCGCAGAATCTTGAAAAAAAATCATTTTATCACGGCTTCCACAAAAAATTTTTTAAAATATGTATGGTATGTCAAAATGCTAATTACAGTATTTTGTTTGATGTTGAATCCTTTAAATCATGCCGTAGATATACCATCTCTACCTACTCATACTGCCCAGCCCTAGTTACTGGCAGTGCCATTTGGCTGCCTGGGTTCTTTCTTTTCTGTCTTGCAGGCGCAGTCTGATATATAGACAGTGGAGTACATCCCCAGACAGTGAGCGTATACCATGCCTTCACGCTGGGTCTGTGCTGAACACGCGTGCCTGGGCAGAGCGCAGCTAATGTGTTGACTTAAGCCCAGGGGCCTGGCATTGTGTTACACAGCTGTTTTCTATGTCTGCATGTTAAAGCGCCACTATCCCTATGAAGCATAACAGCTGGTGCCAAACACAGGCTTCGGGAGTTAGCAAGGGGAAAATATGCACGCACACCACGGCTGCAAAGGGAGGCAATAATGATAGCAGAAGAGAGGAAAAAGTGAAGTGCAGCGTGCATGGTATCACTAAAGCGGTTTATACTGTTGCCATGGTACGCTGAACGTAAATATTACACATTTATAAGAAATCTTAACTGCCATCAGGGTTATGATATACATTGCTTTTTTAAGGATTGACAGTTAAAAGTGTAATAAAGAAGCCCTTAGTCAGCAAGTAGGGCCTTCGGGGGCCACACACACACACAAGTGTACCCTTGGAGTGTTTCCTGTGCGGTTGGAGGACTCTTGTCACACACTGTTGATGGAGCCCCCTTTACTTTGACATGTTGTTGGGAATCTCAGTTCCAAAGAGGGGTTCTTCAGAGGTTCACCACAAGTCGAGAGTCTGATCAGAATGAACTAGATCTTGCCATTGAAGGCATAGTTCATCCAAAAATGAAAAATGGCATCACTTACTCACCATCATGTTGTTCCAAACCTGTAACGGACAAACATACACAAAAATATATTTTAAAGAATGTTTCAACTGTTTTTGTTCATGCAATGAAAGACAATGAGGTCCAAAACAACTTTGGATCCAATTGACTTCTATAAAATATGAATTTTTGGGCCTATAAAATATGCATTGTTACTTTTTAAAATGTATTTTATAGAAGTAAACATTCAAGGACTGTTTTCCACTTTCAAAAGTAACATATCGACCTTGTGGTCTCCTAGCCTCAGGGTGGTTTAAAACTTGGCTGGGTTTCTGTTGGAATTTCCAGACCACCCAATAACGGATATTTAATGTTCCTTTCGTTCCTTCTGTCATTGTGCTTCACACAATCATCTTCTGTATCTTTCTAGATTCCCGCATTTACTGATCTGTATGCCTCAGGAGAGATTTTACTCACAGGAACGTCACTGCTTATGGATGGCAGTCATTCTAACACTGTCCTAAACATAGTGTCAGCAGCTTTGTGCGTCAAGACTTTGTAACGGTGCTTGGTTCCTATTTTTGTCGCTTTGTGCCTGGTTGTCCCTCCTACAGTGAAATCTCACTGGAAAGAAATCGTGCTCTATGTAGTTTTATTTTAAACATAAAATATGGTTTGATTGATTGGCTGATTGAAAGTGACTTTTAATAACTGTTAATTTTAGTGACTACTCTAACATTTCGCATTAAATAAGGACATAAAAATCCTTTGACACTCAAACCTTGATGTCATGTAGTTGTACTTTACGTGTATAGTTTACCCAAGTTTTCCGTGTTTGATATTTACTCACCCGCATGGCATTCTAAGTCTATGACTTTTTCTGTGGAACACAAAATAAAGTTTTCCGTTATTTCATTAGATTTTTTATTTATTTTGACCTCATTTACTTTCATTGTATGGACAAAACCATTCTATAGAATATATATTTTGTTCCACAGATGAAAGTATGTCCAAACAGGTTTGGAACAGCATGACACGGTTAGTGTTTAAGGGATAGTTCACCCAAAAATAAAAATTATGTAATTAATTACTCACCCTCATGTCGTTCCAAACCCATAAGTCCTTCGTTCATCTTCGGAACACAAATTAAGATATTTTTTATGAATTCAGAGGGTTAGACAGAACAATGACAGAATTTTCGTTTTTGGTAAAAAATGGATACTTCTGATGTTTATTCATGTTTATTTTGTGCTATAACTAGTAAAGACGAAGAGATGATCGCTTTACGTGCTGCTTGAAATGAGGCACTACAGCGATCTGTCACGACACATTAAAGAGCCACAAAACTATTTATTCTTTGGATTTCTTAAAAAATTACAATTTTAAAGCTGAGACTTGTCTGTCAGCACTTTGTATTTCCTCCACAATGTATTTTTCACTGGTTGAAAACATGATGTGTGACGTGAGAGCCCTGGCCATGGCTTGTCGGACATAGCAACAGTAACGAAGGGTGGCGGGTCTTTGCAAAGAGTCAATTGGAAATCTGACATCTTATATTATATTATATTATATATATTATATAATATTTTTGGTGTAGTTACAGCATCTACCAGCAGGGGTTATGCTAACCAGCCTTGCCCTCTTAATTTCCTCCAAAACACCTTACACAACTGCTGCTTCAGCTGGAGTTGCTGTGGTGATTGGGATACGTTGCCGACGTCAGACGTGACTAATGAGGAGAAACGGAGAGCACAGCCTTTAATGGATAGTGGATTGGTTTATGATGTCAATTGCTGGAGGGGAGGATGGAGGAGTGAGCTTTGGCCGATATGCTCAATTTGTCCAGTTTGAGCGAGGCAGAGGGACTCTTAGCAGATGAGTCACAGGCGGATGTGGCAAGAGCGTGTAAGTAAGTATGCTTGGCCATGGGGCTGTCGGCTAATGGGTCTTTGTGAGTGAGCTTGTAAGTTGGTGACTCATTAGGCCGTAGTATCCTTCCAATCCTTTTACTCTCATAGGGCGAACAAGGACAGACGAAGAGAGATCTGCGGCGGCATCTCAATTACTCTACTAGTGCAGGCAAAAGCGTCATCACCATTCAAACTATTTTTGAGCCAGTTTTCAATGGAAGTACACTGAACAAAATTCTAAATGCAACACTGTTGTTTTTGCCCCCATTTTTCATGAGCTGAACTCAAAGATCTAAGACTTTTTCTATGTACACAAAAGGCCTATTTCTCTCAAATATTGTTCACAAATCTGTCTAAATCTGTGTTAGTGAGCACTTCTCCTTTGCCGAGATAATCCATCCACCTCACAGGTGTGGCATATCAGGATGCTGATTAGACAGCATGATTATTGCACAGGTCAATTAAAAGGCCAATCTAAAATGTGCAGTTTTATCACACAGCACAGTGCCACAGATGTCGCAAGTTTTGAGGGAGCGTGCAATTGGCATGCTGACTGCAGGAATGTCCACCAGAGCTGTTGCCCGTGAATTGAGTGTTCATTTCTCTACCATAAGCTGTCTCCCAAACGAGTTTCAGAGAATTTGGCAGTACATCTAACCGGCCTCACAACCGCAGACCACGTGTAACCACACCAGCCCAGGACCTCCACATCCAGCATCTTCACCTCCAAGATCATCTGAGACCAGCCACCCGGACAGCTGCTGCAAAAATCAGTTTGCATAACCAAAGAATTTCTGCACAAACTGCCAGAAACCGTCTCAGGGAAGCCCATCTGCATGCTCGTCGTCCTCATCGGGGTCTCGACCTGACTGCAGTTCGTCGTTGTAACCGACTTGAGTGGGCAAATGCTCACATCCGACGGCATCTGGCACTTTGGAGAGATCAGCAGTAAATCTCCATCCAAAGGCCAGCGCTCTCGCACTGAAACTCAAAATACGCCTCGCAGAAGAAACCCAGAAAATCGCTGCAGCTGAATAAACTGCATTTTAATTTTCATTAAAATAAAGTATATTTATAATGCAATGCCTTTATCACTGCTTAAATACTATGAAATATGTTACGTGCCTTATTCTGTGTAAGAAGCCACATCATCTCACAGAAGGATTTATTTCAAACACTCGACTGACGTTATGAAGTGAGTTTGGAGTAAAAATATGTTATTAAATGTGGTATTTTCACATGCTTTCAGATGGAGCAGCATTTACTTCACAGAGCCGTAGTTCACCGAGAAGCTATGCAAACAGCTGTCATCATTGCGAACGATTTCTTCGATTTCAGAATCGCGCAATAAAATCGTCTGCGATTTGTTTTGCGTAACTTGTCAGTGAACTACGGCTATGTGTAGTAAATTCTGCTCCATCTGAAAGCATGTGATGATGATTTCCTGCTGATTACAGAACCGGCTAATCCCATGTACTATTTTGGTTGCATTGTCTAATTTAGGCACCCTGGGATAGTGCCTTAAATTGCAAAGATTTGTAACGATGGTCATTATGCACTCTTCTCCCTCTTAGAACAAGTCTGAAGTGCTTTATGAATGCAGCTCCTGCAAGGAGATATGGGAATCTTACACAAATTCTTGTCTTTTAGCATTAGTATGTCATGGAGTCTGACGCGCCACAGTGTTTGTGTTAAAATGTAATACGTCCAAAAACATTGTAAATGGAATGATGTCCTTTCATCAACCCCTCTCTCTCTCTTTCTGTTTCTCCTAGATGGCGGGCCGTGGGAAGAAGGAGAACAAATGCTCGGTGAAGGCGGTGGAGGAAATGTTGGAGTCCATGCAGATCACCATGTCTTAAACCTCAGCTCTGTCCCCCCTTCCCACAACCTCTGTCACCACAACACCATGGCAGCTCTCCCTGCTCACTAGAGTACAGCACCACGACCCACAGACCAGACCACCCAACCCAATCACCTCTGTATCAGTTCATCCATCTTTGTATTGTTTTGAGGTCTCCGGGAAGGCTTCAGACACCCCGAACCATTCCACAAGTTTCTTGATTCAACCTTCAGCACTCCTTTATTTATTATTAAGAGCTTATCATTGGGTCGATTGGTGGAATCAAATGGGTCTGTGATGGAAGTGAGCGTGTAAAGGAAAATCTATGTAATGTTTTTAGTTTGGTCAGTTCTTGTAGTTTATAAAAAAGAGAAAACCGTGAGAAGATGGAAATGTACTTAGTGTATGTGCAAGAAACTGATGTCATGACTGATCTGTTTCTTAGCAAAGTAAATGATCAGCTAAGAATCAGTTTCGCAAAGAGTTTAGCAAAATAAAGGACTGCATTTTTGACTAACCATACCAATGTTTTGGTGGGTCTCTTCATTGATTGGTTATCTGTTTCATGCATTGATATCCAAGGAGCATTTCTTCTGTCTTGCCCTGTTTTCTTGGAATGTTTTGACTAGTTGTTTTAAATCTCACAACTGGAAGATCATCTAAGAATCTCTTGCTTTTTCAGCAAAATAAAGTACTGCATTTTTTGACTAACTATAACAATACTTAGGTGGGTCTTCGTTGATTAGTTGTCTTTTCCATGCATAGATTTCAAAGCATAATTTTTTTCTCTCTTGCTCCATTTTCTAGGAATGCTTTAACTTGTCGTTTTCAAAGCTCAGCTCTTCTCCGAGCCGCTATAAGCTAATGAGTGGTTAGAAGCCTGTTCGGACCACCCTTGGACCACTGAATGATAATAGCAATAAAGAGGATAATAATCACCATTACTATGGTCATATAATGTGCCCTCTGAAGACTTCAAGAAGCGATAGAGCCCCAGCTTCACGCTACCCCATTGGGCAGCTGCTGGGATCTGCTGAAATACTTAAGAGCAACAGAAATTCCCATTAAATGAAGGCTGAGCAGCAGGCAGTCTCTCGCTCCCGACGATCCGACTGGGACTCGTGCCCCTCAATTACAGCAAGACCATCAGGAAAGCTTGGCCGGTAATTAAAACAAGCACTTTGAATGCATAAGTTTGGGGTTTTCTCAAGTGTCAGAAAGGGAAAGATTGAGAGAGGCTGTGAAGAGGAGGTCTGGTTTCCTACTGTGTTCATTTGTAACGGTCACATCGCTTTCAGGACTAAATGAGCGTTATTTTCTTACTCACCCGTGCCGGGTCAGCTGCTACTTCCATCCCTTTTGTTTATTAAGTCGTAGCAATTGTCTCATAATTTCACATGCAGTCCGGTGGAAAAGTTGAGCGTTGACTTTATTGCCTCTCTTTTTCCCCCCCTCATGGACCGACTGACTTGTTAAGGGGCTTGAAAGCCTGAAGTGGGAGTGGTGAAAGTCATTTACTCATCAGTTTTAATACTTTGGTCAGTGGATGTGTCTGCGTTTGATTTTGCATTCCAAGCTCGCAGAACCGACGAAAGCCTGGGGACCGCGGAGGGAGACTGATAGAACGGTTATTTTTACAGGAACCGCTGCACTGAAGTGTAGCTTTTTGAGGAACCATCAAGGATGGTTCATTTGAGAGAGAATATCATTTACATGTGGATCCTTGTCTCCCAGGCAACTAGGAATGGAAGAAGCCAATGCCCTCTCTTGTAAAGGTCATTAAAGGCTTGAAAGCGGTCTGTAAAAGAACATGTCAATCACTTTGATGTGTGAGTGATGTGCAAGACCCACAAAACCGCCCTTTAACTTAACGCAATAGTGCCATCTGTAGTCAGGAGGGTGTTTTACTTTTCCTCCTCTTTGCTCTTTTCCAAGTTTAGGGATCTTTTCATGAAAAGTAAGACGTTTTTAGAAAGAGGAAGTGGAAGAGTCATCCATCTCGCATTTGAAAAGAATTTGCCAAGATGCTCTGGTGTAACGTGAGACATGCTATATACAGGTAGAAACGAATGCAATTTATGGGAACATGTTTCTACGGTGTTGTTCATCATCAACACTGAAACAGTGAAAACGGCTGCATCTGATTTAGTGTTCCAGTAATTACAGCTTTAATTTCTGCGGTGCCTTCTTAGGAAGATGGAAAATCAGCTGAACCAGAATCTCCTTCATTCCAAAAAGATCCAACAGCTGGGGCATTTAAATGCTATGTCATTGAGGTCAAAGACAAAGCACTGTGGATTAGTTGTTCGTGTTATTTCTAATTCCTTTAGGTTATGTCACAGCTCAACCTCAAGCCTGAACAGCAAGCTTGGTAATTGGTCCATTGATCTGTTATGTATGGATGCAGTTTCCACCTCAGAGTAAAACTTGAATTGGTAATTGCATATTATTTTACAACTTTGTTTCGCATAATTGAATTAACATTTCACAACATGACTTTATATCTTGCAATGACATTGTTTCTTGCACTTGCAACTTTTTATTGTAAATTACAGCTTTAAATATCACAATGTGACCGTATCTCATAAACTCATAAATGTGATTATATTTTGCTATGACTTTGCCTCGCATTTGCGATTTACGCATATTTGTCACTTTATATCTAGCAATTTTTACATTCTCAACTTCTCATAATTGATATTACATTTCACAATGTGACCTCACAATATGACTCACATTTGTGACTTTATTTCCTCGTAATTGTAACTGTATCTTGCAATTGTGATGTTTTTTCTCACAATCACAACTTTAAATCTCACAATGTGACTTAATATCTTGCTTGTATGATTTTGTTGGAATTTCGACTTTGTTTTTCCAAATTGTTACTTAATGCAGGTAATGCTGCATTAAAGTTAGACTAAATTATGCCTTTTTCAGCCCCTACATAGTATCAAGTTGCAATTGCTGTGTAAATGCATTTATGCCACCTCTAAGCAGCATTAAACAGTTTATGTAAAGACATCTAATTGCCACTACAGAAGCGCTTCTGCCCTTAAATTTGGCATACATCTTGCAATTTCGACTTTGTAGGATGCGAAATCAATTATGAGAAACCTAGTCGCTTTATAACTCAAAATGCTTTTGACTACGCAAAACTTTTTTTTTAAACAGTTTTTTTCTTCTGAGGCAGAAACAGGCTACCATAGTACTGCATGGGAAATAGATCGAGGCGGAGAGGAGACACTTGGATGTCTGCTGTGCATTAGACACTTAAGCCCCTGTGAATACTCCCCAGGTGATGAGTCAGTGAAGGTATTAATCATCTGTAATCCATACACTCAGCACCGCAGACGGTGAATGGAGATAAATCTCCATGTATAGAAAGTGACTTCTCTATGTGCTATTTTTCGAAGAGAAATGCAATGATCAGAGGGAGTCTATGAAGGTGAGGAAAGAGGGAGCCTCCCCGTGGTTCCCCCATAGAATTTCTAGGGTGGCTGGAATTGGCAAGAGAATTTAATTGGAGCAGGGGGCTTCCCCCGCAGCACATCTGTCTCTCTCTGGTTTAGGGATGAGGCTGGGAGGACTGAAGATGAATGAGACACGTTAGCCCTGCCTAGTCATGTCACAATGCACAATGCAGTGAAGAAACAATGTTTGCCTCAGAGTGAGGTGTGTCTTCTTTAATTACATTTCTGGAGTAGATTTAATTGGAGCAGGGGGCTTCCCCCGCAGCACATCTGTCTCTCTGGTTTAGGGATGAGGCTGGGAGGACTGAAGATGAATTTTCGGAGCACAAATTAGGATATTTTTGATGAAATCTGAGCTATGAAGGTGAGGAAAGAGGGAGCCTCCCCGTGGTTCCCCCATAGAATTTCTAGGGTGGCTGGAATTGGCAAGAGAATTTAATTGGAGCAGGGGGCTTCCCCCGCAGCACATCTGTCTCTCTCTGGTTTAGGGATGAGGCTGGGAGGACTGAAGATGAATGAGACACGTTAGCCCTGCCTAGTCATGTCACAATGCACAATGCAGTGAAGAAACAATGTTTGCCTCAGAGTGAGGTGTGTCTTCTTTAATTACATTTCTGGAGTAGAATTAAAGGGATAGTTCACCCAAAATTGAAAATTCTGTCATTAATTACCCTTGTGTCATTCCAAAACCTGTGAGACATTTAATCATTTTCGGAGCACAAATTAGGATATTTTTGATGAAATCTGAGAGCTTTCTGTCCCTGCGTAGACAGCAACAGAACTACCACATTCAAGGCCCAGAAAAGTAGTATGGACATCGATAAAATCGTCCATGTGACATCAGCGGGTCAACCGTAATTTTAGGAAGCTACGAGAGTACTTAAAATGAAACAAAAGTAACTTTATTCAACAATTTCTTCTGATTCTTTTTCCTTAATGATTCTCTTATTGGTTTTTTGTGGAAGAAATATTTGGGAATAGGAAACTCAGTGATTTAAATCTGTTATCACCGATAGTTCACTGAAAATTCTGTAACAATATTCTCATCATGTTCCAAACCCGTATGAATTACTATCTTCTGTGGAACGTTCTGGAATGACGTGAGGGTGAGTAAATCATGACAGAATTTACATGTTTGGGTGAACTGTCCTTTAAAGTGCAAATAACACATTAATTTAATTCTTAGTTTATTTTGAGTCCGATGTAAATGAATGAATGATATATGCGGTTCAGAAAGTCAAATTAATTCAATAATTCTATCACCTCAGAATCATATAATGTTGAATCGTATAATCTTTTTTTATTGGTTGAAAAAAAATTTAATTTCTTACTTTATTCAGTGCCTGATTATCTCTTTATATGTTTTAATTACTGCTATCCAATTTGTTTGATATATTGTTTAGCATATTGCTAACTGATCAGGCTGTTGTCTTAGCATGTCACTAACTAATAGTTTAGCTTCCATTGTTACAAAATGACTAGAAATGTTCTTGTTTTCTTAAATATATTGCCATACGTTTCTGAACATAGCATTCAGTGGGGATTGCATTCTTTGAGATGAAAAAAAATGCTGCACAACACCAATACTTCATTCAAGAATCGGACTACACTGATTGCGCTGTGCGCTAAACATTTGACCTCTGCACAGTCAATCATTGTTTATAGAACCAAATGTTATAAATTAATGCAAAAAAATATTGTTAAAAAATGACTAGAAATGTTCTTGTTTTCTTAAATATATTGCCATACGTTTCTGAACATAGCATTCAGTGGGGATTGCATTCTTTGAGATGAAAAAAATGCTGCACAACACCAATACTTCATTCAAGAATCGGACTACACTGATTGCGCTGTGCGCTAAACATTTGACCTCTGCACAGTCAATCATTGTTTATAGAACCAAATGTTATAAATTAATGCAAAAAAATATAAAAAAACTCAATGGTAGGCCTATTGCACTGTATGTAAGTAATACAGGTCCATGCTCACTTTACAAAGAGAACTTCTATGTGAATTAGAAGAGGATGTAAAGAATGCTCTGAATAAAATAATTTTCAACACCAAAACCAAAAATAAATGTTGGATCTGTAAAACGTTGGCAAAAAAATCTGTCCACTATATCAACTGGGTGGATTCAGGGTGGACAGCAAAAGTTTGCAGAAATTATCCGTCTATGGTTTTCGCCGTCTATGGTTTACTTTAATTTGTGATTTTCTTTTCAGCACCTGGACAAAGCGTTTATTTCGTTCTCTCTC